TACTGACACACACCTATTTATAGGGACAGACTAACCGCACACATGGTTCACGGCCGTGAACAGGTTCACGGTCGTGAATACCAAACAACCATGAACAACTTTGACTGTAAACACCAAATACAACCAAACCCTGTACATAGATAATTGCCTAGCCCAAACCACATAATTATGACCTAACAATCTCCCCCTTGGTTGGGAAATATTATGAACTCAGTTCTTGTTGATCAGCATCACCAAGGTGTGTATGTCTCGCTTCCTGAACCGTAGAAGATCCTTAGCATCAACAAGACGAATAGCGCTATTGCTATCTCGGAACTTGATCACTGCAGTGGCACTAGGTTCTTCGACTGTGGTCTTCAACTTGTCACCAAATTCTGCAATAAGCTTGTTGTTCAAGTCAAAGTAGTCTGCTGATAGGGCACCAAGATAAACTTGGAGATCGGAGATCTGTTTAGACGTCTGAAAGTTTTCTTCTTCAAGCTCTGAAATTCGAAGATCGAGGTTTCCGATCAGAAAATCTTTCTCGGTGATCTTCTGTTTAAGAGTAGTGATCTCCTCTATTAGCTCAGGGACAGATGGGTCCGCTCCCCCTGATCTGCCTTCCTCGATAGATATGCCTTTTCCGTGAGGATTAGGATCATCATCATGTTCCTCCAAGAACCTGGCGAGCCTCTCAGAGGCAGTGTCATGCATAGGCCTTGGAGGCAAGGAATCCCCAGGAGCTGAAGAACTCCCAGTTTCAAAAACAGTGCTTGGACCTTCCTGAATATCAACTTGGGCTGACTGTGATAGTGTAACGACGACTGTAGTTGTTGGCTGCGTTGGCTGGGCTTGATCTCTAATAAGCACTCTCGGCCTCGGGTCAGCTCGTCTTCTTTTCAACGGAGGTTGGGAGGCATGTGTCAATTCAAGATCACTTTCAGATGGCACTAGAGTTGGAGTGTCAACTGGAAGGGGAGGAATCCTTGAAGTCGTATCCATGTTCAATGAGGTGTCGGCCATCTGAACTCAAGTTGGAGGCGTCACTTTGAGAACACCACTAACTCCTTCTGTCTATGTTGCAGGTTGCACAACATCATCGACAGTATCAAAGAAAGCATCGAGGTCTTCACTACTTAACCTTATATCATTATCCTGCTTAAAACCCATGAGTTGCAAACCCAATACATCCAAATTTTTTCAAATATAAGACATTTTGAAGACTTAAAAATTAAAATTAAAATAAAATCTAAAAAAATTTAAACTAAACTATTTTTTAAAATTTTTGAGTTTTTAGAAAAATAAAAAATAGAAATAAAATTGTATAACACTAATTTCCTTTTTCACCATTGCAGATAACATTTTTGTGATTTTTGGGATCAAAGTTTTTTTTAGACAACCTCAATCCGTTTATCGGTACCTCCTCCTTCATGAATTGTCACACCCCCGAACCAGATGGCGGAAACGTCCGAGGGCTCGTGTGACTTAAATTGAAATATCATCACAATGAATATACATGAAACATAACATAAACATCACCATGCATTAATATATTACAACCGTCATTGTTCACATCCAGTACATTGTTTACATTAAATAATCCTAAAAATAAATTGTTTATCAAATGACATCACACAAAAGACATTCAGACACACGCTTGATAATTCTTCATTCTAACGGTTACCTGAGAACACAAGTTATTTGGAAAACGGTCAACATATATAATGTTGGTGAGTTCATAAGCAGGTTTGATATGAAATGTTTTGTATTGTTTGTAAAACCCAGAAAATCCGATATTTTCTGAAACAAAAATTGTTTACGAAAAAGGTATGATGATCCATAAGTATACGTGTAAATAATTTCAAAACATGCAAAAGTGAAATGTTTTTCATAATAGTTTCTTGTATTATAGTTGTTGTAAGTAAAAGTGAATAATGTTGTTCCCCCGGAAAACCCGATGTTTTCCGATATAAATAGCATGATAGTTTTGTATTATTGTATCGTCATAGCATATGAACATGATTTCCCAATGATTACTTAGATGGTAATGGATCTCTATGTGAGTCGTTATAACCATGCATAATAATGACTAATTCGCATGTCTTGGAATTCTAGTGAATGCCTGTATTGAATTAAGATTTTGTCACCCTAGACTGGCCGAGTCTAACTGTAGCGAACAGCTTAGGTGTAGGGGAGTCATTCCCGTATAGATCTATACACAAACTCTCGCTCTCCCTCCAGGAGACTTTGATTATAACTACAGACTACGACCGACACTTATTGGTGTCGCCCGTTATTTCTCACTAATCCAAAAGAAATTGTATAACATTGTTTCACGACCCGATTTATGTTTACTTGAAAAAAGGTAAGCCTAACAGACGAAGAGAAGAGGACTACTGAGGCTCACTAACTTTGTATGTTATTACAGGCTGTCGAGTATGCTACGGACACGTTATAGCTCATTAAGCATATTATAAAGGTTTAAGGTCTTATTAGCAATACAAGTGGACCATTAAGGTCCAATAGTATGTTAAAGATAATAAAGGCCCACTGGGTATGTAATTGGGTCACCGGAAGCCCAATAAACATGTGTGATTATATTGGGCCCAATCATCAGGATATTGGGCCATAAAGGCCCAATAGCACGAATAGAAGATATTTGAGCCCAACCATTGAATCATTTTTAATTTATTGATCTTAAGTTCGTAATGTAGCTATTTGTTGTAAGTGAGATGTTTATTCGAAGTGTTAAAATATTTTGACGTTTGATTTATAACGAAGCTTGGTTATACGTATATATATATATATATATATATATATATATATATATATATATATATATATATATATATATATATATATATATATATATATATATCTATATATATATATATATATATATATATATATATATATATAGATATATAAAACCATGCGTTATAAACTTAATATTTTTAACCCAATAATTTAATATTTGTCTACTTGGCCCAAAAACATTTAGTTTGACCGTTTCAGCCTCTTTATCTATAAAAATGGCACTTTTAGTCCCTTTTTATGAAAATTGACATTTTTGGTCTTTAAACCGTTTTTCTTGACATTTTACCCCCAAACTTTATTTAAATAATAATTTCAGCCCAAAACTATTGTATTTGTCATTTCCAGCCCCCAATTGTAAATAATTTACACTTTTGGCTCAAATTCCGTAAGTTTTACAATTTCGACCCCAAAATCAAAAACTTTGCATTTTTAGTCCAATTTTTGCATCAAAGTCATTTTCAGCCCCTAAAAATAGTTTATTCATGTTTTAGACTCACAGTTTGTTAAGTTTTCCAATTCAGCCCCACAACATTTCATTTTTTCGCAACTTTGGGCCCAAAAACTCGTGAGGCCCAAATTAAAGCCCAATAAGCTAAAATTTATGTTTTTGACCCCTAGAAAAGTTTTATTTTCATAAAAATTAGATTTCTATGTAAATAATACTATTTTGTCCTTATAAAACCGAAAATTTCATATTTTACCCAAACTTTGATTATTTTTGCAAAAATGACACTTAAAAGGACTTTGACTTTGTTTTCACTTCTTAAGCCTAAAGATCCTTAGATCTTTGAAGTAAATTGTTTATTATGTACTTTGTTTATGTATTCTTCTCACTTTAGCCATAGATTTCAAGATTTAGCAAATAACATCATATTTTCACAACATAAATCAAAGAAATCACATATAACAACATACACACATAGATCAACACATAGTACTTGTATTCTCCCCCCAAAAACAAGTGAAAACCGAAAACAAGGACGTATGAACTCACCTTGGGTTTGTTGTTTTGGTTTTTGTGAAGAAAAGATGGAGGTTTCGACCTTGATCACTTCTTGAAGAGAGTTTCGAATCCAAGATGATATTTAGAAGCTTAAATCACGAATGAGAGTGGTTTAAAGAGATATTTCTAGACTATACTTGAATCAAAAGTATTGGAGTTACACAATAACTTACCAAAGATTGGAAATACTTGATGAAGATCCTTAGAACTCTAACAAAATTTCGAGTTCTTGGAAGAAGAAGAGAATGATATTTGAGAGTGTGTGGAGAGGATTTGGAAGGATGTGTGTGTGTGTGTGTTTGGTTCTCGGCCGAAGGAAGAAAAGAGAGGGAAGAAGAGAGAGGTGTGAGTTGATGGGTGCATGGGGAAGTGTAAGCCTTGCATGGGTGTATGGTGGACAATAGGGAGGTGACACCTCCTAGGTCAACCCTTATCACCATCCTCTTTTTCCTTTTTTTTGATGTTGGGCCGAGTTGGGCTTGGTAAAAGAAACATGGATTAATTTGGCTCACTTCTAGCGTATGTTCGAAACTATGAGATTCATAAAGGAGGTTTTCGGCCCATTGGGCTTCTTTGGATGGTTCACGGCCTATTTAGCATAATAGAATAGGTTTGTGGCCCATCAGGGCTAATTAGATTAGTCATGGCCCAATAAGGCTTATTGGAGTAGTTTATTCCATTTTAGGCCCAATATGGCCCAAAATGTTAAATCTCATGAAAGTGGGTTGAATTAGAGCCCAATTAAGAGTTCTAAGCCCAAACTAGTCAAATTGGAGACTTATTGGTCCATTAGGCCCAATAAGAAAATCCTAGTCCATATAGGACTTAAACCGGGATTTTTAGGGTTTCTAATCTTTTGTTGACTATTTGAAGTGTTTTGTATAGAGTGATTGATGGAACTCTAGTGTTATTGAATAAACATCATGCATACTTTCAAGTTTTAGTGACAAATGCTATCATTGTTAATGTTTACAAAAGCATTAGAATTCCTAGTTGTTACATCATCCCCCCGATAGAGGGAATTTCGTCCCAAAATTCTTTTTGAATCTAGATTTGAGAATGCGAGAATAGGTGAGGGTACTTTTGCATCATCTGGTCTTCGCGTTCCCTTGTGAATTCTGGTCCACGCTTTGTGTTCCACCGAACTTTCACAATCGGAATGCGACTTTGCTTAGTACGCTTCACTTCCCTATCCATGATTTCAACTGGTTCCTCGATGAACAGGAGATTCTCGTTGATTTCGATTTTGTTCGAGTGGGATGACAAGAGTTTCGTCGGATAAGCACTTCTTCAAATTGGAAACATGGAACACGGGGTGTACGCTGCTGAGCTCACCAGGTAGCTGCAGCCTATAGGCCACTGGACCGATTCGGGCAAGAATCTCGAATGGCCCAATGTACCTTGGGTTTAGTTTTCCCCGTTTTCCGAAACGAATCACCCTTTTCCAGGGAGAGATCTTTAGTAACACCCGATCCCCGACTTGAAATTCCACGTGCTTTCGCCTTTTATCAGCATAGCTCTTCTGTCGGTCTCGTGATGCTTGAAGTCGAGCTCTGATTTGAACTATCTTCTCTATCGTCTCACGTATGATTTCCGGTCCTGTTAATGCATCGTTTGGTGTCTGTCCTCTTTCTAGCTGAGTGTCACCTACCTCAGCCCAACACAACGGTGATCTACATTTACGCCCATATAACGCTTAAAAAGGAGCAACTTCGATGCTTGTGTGATAACTGTTGTTGTACGAAAACTCAATTAAAGGTAAGTGGGTATCCCACGACCTTCCGAAGTCTATAACACATGCTCGACGCATATCCTCAAGCGTTTGAATGGTTCGCTCACTTTGACCATCCGTTTGTGGGTGGTAAGCAGTGCTCATGTCGAGTTGTGTTCCCATAGCCTTTTGAAGTGTTTGCCAAAAGTGTGAAGTGAACCTACTATCCCAATATGAGATGATAGATATTGGCACTCCATGGAGTTTCACAATTTCCTTGATGTATATTCTTCTCAGTCACTCCATCTTGTATGTCTCCTTTATTGGCAGGAAATGGGCGGATTTTGTCAACCTATCAACTATTACCCACATGGCATCCATTCCATCAGTTGTCTTGGGTAATTTGGTCACAAAGTCCATGGTAATCCATTCCCATTTGCACTCGGGTATTACTGGCTGTTGTAATAGTCCCGAGGGCTTTTGATACTCTACCTTCACTTTAGCACAAGTGAGGAACTTGCTAACGTAAGTGGCAATTTCTGCCTTTATGTTAGGCCACCAATAATATTGCTTGATATCCAGGTACATCTTATCTGAACCCGGATGGATGGAGTATCGTGTCTTATGAGCCTCATTCATGACTACCTCTCTGAATCCCCCAAGTTTAGGGACCCAAATTCGGTTCATGAAATAATATGTTCCTTCCTCCTTGACTTCGAAGTTCTTTTCCATTCCACGTAACGCTTCGCTTGTTTTGTTTTCTATCTTCATGGCATCCGACTGGGCTTCTTTGATTTGCGAGAATAGATGTGATTAAATGGTTATCGAAAGAGTTTTCACATGACGATTTGAGTATTCTTTCCGACTCAAGGCATTAACTACCACGTTAGCCTTGTCTGGGTGGTACTTGATTTCGCACTCATAATCGTTTAGCAGCTCAACCCATCTTCGCTGCCTCATGTTTAACTCCTTTTGATTTAAAATGTGTTGGAGGCTCTTGTGGTCAGTGAAAATGGTGCACTTCGTACCATAAAGGTAGTGCCTCCAAATCTTCAAAGCAAAGACCACAGCTCCCAATTCGAGATCATGGGTGGTATAATTCACCTCATGTGTCTTTAGTTGCCGGGATGCATAAGCTATCACCTTCCCACGCTGCATGAGTACACATCCTAAACCCAGATTCGAAGCATCGCAGTAAATTACGAAGTCCTCAGTACCCTCTGGTAATGATAGTACTGGCGCACTACAGAGAGCTCGTTTCAGAGTTCGGAAGGCAACCTCCTGCTTTTCTGTCCATACAAATGGTACGCCTTTTTGTGTAAGCATGGTAAGTGGCTTGGCTGTTCTGGATAAGTTCTGAATGAATCTTCTGTAATAGCCTGCGAGACCCAGAAATTGACGAATTTCTGTGGGTGTCATTGGGACTGCCCATCCTTCAATGGCTTTGATCTTAGAAGGGTCCACATGTATCCCTTCTTGGCTGACAACATGACCTAAAAAGTTTACGCTACGGAGCCAGAACTCACACTTAGAGAGTTTTGCGTATAACTTTTCAGCTCGCAGGGTTTCCAAGCTTTGTCGGAGGTGTCGACTATGTTCCTCTTCGCTTCGAGAATAAACCAGAATATCGTCGATGAAAACGATAACGAAATTGTCGAGGAATGGTCGGCAAACTCGATTTATCAGGTCCATAAATGCGGTAGGGGCATTCGTTAGACCGAAGGGCATTACAACAAATTCATAATGTCCATAACGAGTTCGGAAAGCGGTCTTAGGGATATCCTCTTCCCGGACCTTGAGTTGGTGGTAGCCGGATCGCAGATCTATCTTAGAGTAGTAATTTGCTCCTTGAAGCTGGTCGAATAGATCGTCGATTCGTGGAAGTGGGTAGCGATTTTTGATAGTGAGCTTATTCAGTTCTCTATAATCGATACACATCCTAAAGGATCCGTCCTTCTTCTTAACAAAAAGGACCGGAGCTCCCCAGGGTGAGAAGCTAGGTCGGATGAATCCTTTGCTCAAGAGTTCGCTGAGTTGGCTTGACAGTTCTTGCATCTACGCATGAGCCAACCTATAGGGCGATTTGGCGATGGGTGTAGCTCCTGTCACAAGGTCGATTCGGAACTCGAGTTGCTTTCTGGGGGTATCCCCGGAAGATCTTCAGGAAAGATGTCAGGGAAATCGCAAGCCACTGGTATGTATCGAATATTTATCTCTTCCTTGGATTTATCCACGATGTGAGCCAGAAACGCAAAGTCCTTCTTTTGTAGACACTTATGTGCCTTAATACATGATATAAGACGAAGGTTCGTGCTGGGTTTGGCTCCGTATATAATTAGGGTTTCATGGTTAGGGAGATGAAGGCGAACGGCCTTCTCGTGACACATAATTTCGGCATGATGGGGGCTTAACCAATCCATGCCGATAATCACATCAAAACTCCTAATAGTTACAAGCATCAAGTTTATTTGAAATGCGTGGTGATTTAAGGTTAGGGTACATCCTAAGTAGATTTCCCCAGTTGATTCTGTTTTCCCATTAGCCATTTCCACCGTAAAGGTTTCATTAAGCTTCTGGGGTTGTTGTTTTAGCAAATGTTTGAACTTATTACTCACAAAACTCCGCTCTGCCCCGGTATCAAACAGGATGCATGCATATGAGCTGTTAAGGAGAAACGTACCAGTGAAAACAACGGGATCCTGAACCGCTTCTCCTTGACCCATGGTCTGCACTCTCCCTGCTCCTCCATTCCCTTGGTTGTTGACATTGGGGCATTTTCGACGGAAGTGCCCAGTCCTTCCACATCCATAACAGGTGTGGCTAGCCCCATCGTTGCTGCCGTGGTTGTTGTTGGTGTTTTGTTGTTGCGGTTGTTGTTGTTGTTTCCTTGTTGCTGGTTCTGGGGAGGATAGGTCCTACAGTATTTTGCCGTGTGACCCTTTCGGTTGCAACTGGTACATTGCATCTCCCTGCATTCACCATTGTGATGGAGATTGCACTTGTTGCACTTTGGGAGATATCCGGAATACTGCTTAGGGGCACATGGGGTGGATGAGGCTGGAGCATGTGGTGTGGAGGGAACTTGGGTGGTTGCAGCATGAACGGTTACTAATTGTTGTTTCTTTGACGACTCTGAGCCTTGTCGTCCCTTCCTATTGTTATTCTTTCCTTTCTTGTTATCGTTCTCCTTCTTGCTTTCAGTTTCCCCCGCTTTCTCGCCCTTCTTGTTGTTGTGTTCGTACAACTTCTTGGCCAACCTCTTGGCACTGTCAAAGGTTTCAGGATTTGCGGCTATCACGTTTCCTTCAATTGGGGGAGTTAATCCCCAGATGAATCGTTCTATTTTCTTCCCTTCCGAAGTAATCATGCCAGGGCACAACAGAGACAGTTCGCTGAACCTTGATATGTAGGCATCAATGTCGGAGTTTCAGACAAAATGAGATTCCATAACTCTTGCTCCATTTTCTAAACCTCGCCATGCGGGCAGTATTCAGCCATGAGCATTTCCTTTAATTTCGTCCATGGCATGGCATTAGCCACCGAAAGAGTCATAGCCTCCACATGTCCATTCCACCAGGTGAGAGCTTGATCAACAAATGTACATGCTGCAAACTTCACATTGACTTGTTCTGGGCATCCGCATATTTCAAACACCGATTCCACCTTTTCAATCCATCTCTTTAGGGTTATCATCCCCCCTGTGCCATTAAAGGTTCGTGGTTTAGCGTTGGTGAAATCTTTGTAAGAGCATGTCTTGGTAGGTCCTTGGTTCATTCCGTTGTTTGAACTTCCGGCCCCCTGCCCGTTGCCTGCACCATTGTTCCCATTGTGGATCTACGCCAGTGCTGCTGTGACTGCATCAGATATAGCTGCTTGAAATGCAATGGAGTTGATTTCTGGTGGTGTCGGTGGTTGATTGTTTCCATGGTTTGGTCTTTGCGGCATCTTGCTGTTACGGAACAGAAAGATGTTGAGTACGTATTGTATTTAAGTTGGGAATTCTGTGAATCGATTGAGCATCAAAGTGATTCCATATATTTACACCAAACAATAAGAATGTAAAACACATAGCAGATAACAACATCACGATAAAACACATAATATTTTCCACTAATAATATCCGTACTTTGATACATGAAAATTTGCCCGAAAGAGCATACATAAGGGTACAAAGTTCGACAGCATAACGACTCTATGAGTAGTGTAATCACTTAAACATGGAGTCGGTAGTACATAACATGGTAAGCATAAGAGAACATAGCACTAGTAGGGGGTTTACTGATCCGGGGTGATCCGAGATGTGTCGGGTGGTGGGGATGATGATGTGGATGCGGCCTGAAGACGCGCCACTTGTTGTTCTGTGGCTCGTAGTCGATCCTCCCAAATCGCTTGATGTACGTGAAAGTTATGGATTACTTCCTGAGTTTCTCGTTCCGCTCTTGCCACTGCGGCTCGCATCTGATTCAGCTGCTTGGCTGTGTCCTGGGCTAGGTCGCCAGTGTTCCGCAACCTCCTCACCATAACAGGAAGTGCTCGGTCAGCCGGCCCTCCATCCCTCATATCATAGAATTCCCTCGCCATGCCGTACGGGGGTCGCTGACCTTGCTGCCTACTCTATCTCCAAATGTCAACTCCCCATGGGGGTGTAGGGCCATTAGGGCCCATCCGATGTGCTGGCACCCTAACTGGAAATGGTGGGTTGATGACTACGGACTTTGCGTCCGAGTCATTGTCACTACTGTCGCTAGATTCTTCCCCTCCAGAGTTGGCCACAGGCTCTGCAGGACCGTCTTCGATCCCAACCTCTTGTTCCTCCTCGGGTTCCTCCTCAGACTCCTCTTCAGGTTCCTCCTCAGGCTCCTCTTCAGGTTCCTCCTCAGGTTCCTCCTCAAGCCATCCGTTATTCCCCTGATTAGGGAAATACGGATCTCCAGGAAGATGGAAACCAGCCATGCTGTCTGCAAGAGGTTTATATAATTAAACCATTATTAATCCTAAAATATTTTTCTTATTACTGAAATTGGTTTGATGTTCTCCTCTTGGTTAACAAAAGGGTATGCCTTAGGTTTATTGACCATCACGATCGCTCCAGGGCATGCGATAGTTGTATTCTAAAGGAAATGTAGTTGATCAGGGTACATTCATTCCTAATACAACTGTGCACAGTCCTGGCCTAACCGAGATGTTAGGATTTTTCCCAATGTCTTATTTGAATTGTTATTATGTTCATTTTTCTAAGTCGCACAAGTAAGAGTGTTTATTATTATGTTTTTATTTGTTTTGTTCAGAGTTATTTAGTCCCTCCTTGGGTTTATAGTTGCATATCAATGTGTGGTTAGATATGCCAGGTCACTATAAACAGAGCTCTGATACCAACCTGTCACACCCGCGAACTAGACGGCGGAAACGTTCGAGGGCTCGTGTGACTTAAATTGAAATATCATCACAATAAATATACATGAAACATAACATAAACATCACCATGCATTAATACATTACAACCGTCATTGTTCACATCCAGTACATTGTTTACATTACATAATCCCAAAATTAAATTGTTTATCAAATGACATCACACAAAAGACATTTAGACACACGCTTGATAATTCTTCATTCTAACGGTTACCTGAGAACACAAGTTATTTGGAAAACGGTCAACATATATAATGTTGGTGAGTTCATAAGCAGGTTTGATATGAAAATGTTTTGTATTGTTTGTAAAACCCAGAAAATCCGATATTTTCTGAAACAAAAATTGTTTACGAAAAAGGTGTGATGATCCATAAGTATACGTGTAAATGATTTCAAAACATGCAAAAGTGAAATGTTTTTCATAATAGTTTCTTGTATTATAGTTGTTGTAAGTAAAAGTGAATAATGTTGTTCCCCCGGAAAACCCGATGTTTTCCGATATAAATAGCATGATAGTTTTGTATTATTGTATCGTCATAGCATATGAACATGATTTCCCAATGATTACTTAGATGGTAATGGATCTCTATGTGAGTCGTTATAACCATGCATAATAATGACTAATTCGCCTGTCTTGGCATTCTAGTGAATGCCGGTATTGAATTAAGATTTTGTCACCCTAGACTGGCCGAGTCTAACTGTAGCGAACAACTTAGGTGTGGGGGAGTCACCCCCGTACAGATCTATACACAAACTCTCGCTCTCCCTCCAGGAGACTTTGATTATAACTACAGACTACGACCGACACTTATTGGTGTCGCCCGTTATTTCTCACTAATCCAAAAGAAATTGTATAACATTGTTTCACGACCCGATTTATGTTTACTTGAAAAAAGGTAAGCCTAACAGACGAAGAGAAGAGGACTACGGAGGCTCACTAACTTTGTATGTTATTACAGGCTGTCGAGTATGCTACGGACACGTTATAGCTCATTAAGCATATTATAAAGGTTTAAGGTCTTATTAGCAATACAAGTGGACCATTAAGGTCCAATAGTATGTTAAAGATAATAAAGGCCCACTGGGTATGTAATTGGGTCACCAGAAGCCCAATAAACATGTGTGATTATATTGGGCCCAATAATCAGGATATTGGGCCATAAAGGCCCAATAGCACGAATAGAAGATATTTGAGCCCAACCATTGAATCATTTTTAATTTATTGATCTTAAGTTCGTAATGTAGCTATTTTTGTAAGTGAGATGTTTATTCGAAGTGTTAAAATATTTTGACGTTTGATTTATAACGAAGCTTGGTTATATATATATATATATATATATATATATATATAATATATATATATATATATATATATATATATATATATGTATATATATATATATAAAACCATGCGTTATAAACTTAATATTTTTAACCCAATAATTTAATATTTGTCTACTTGGCCAAAAATATTTAGTTTGACCATTTCAGCCTCTTTATCTATAAAAATGGTACTTTTAGTCCCCTTTTATGAAATTTGACATTTTTGGTCCTTAAACCGTTTTTCTTGACATTTTAGACCCAAACTTTATTTAAATAATAATTTAAGCCCAAAACTATTGTATTTGTCATTTCCAGCCCCTAATTGTAAAAAGTTACACTTTTGGCTCAAATTCTGTAAGTTTTACATATTTGACCCAAAAATCAAAAACTTTGCATTTTTAGTCCAATTTTTGCATCAAAGTCATTTTCAGCCCCTAACAATAGTTTATTCATGTTTTAAACTCATAGTTTGTTAAGTTTTCCAATTCAGCCCCTCAACATTTCATTTTTTTACAACTTTGGGCCCAAAAACTCGTGAGGCCCAAATTAAAGCCCAATAAGCTAGAAAAGTGTTATTTTCATAAAAATTAGATTTCTATGTAAAATAATACTATTTTGTCCTTATAAAACCGAAAGTTTCATATTTTACCCAAACTTTGATTATTTTTGCAAAAATGACACTTAAAAGGACTTTGACTTTGTTTTCACTTCTTAAGCCTAAAGATCCTTAGATCTTTGAAGTAAATTGTTTATTATGTACTTTGTTTATGTATTCTTCACACTTTAGCCATAGATTTCAAGATTTAGCAAATAACATCATATTTTCACAACATAAATCAAAGAAATCACATATAACAACATACACACATAGATCAACACATAGTACTTGTATTCTCCCCCCGAAAACAAGTAAAAACCGAAAACAAGGGGGTATAAAATCACCTTGGGTTTGTTGTTTTGGTTTTTGTGAAGAAAAGATGGACGTTTCGGCCTTGATCACTTCTTGAAGAGAGTTTCGAATCCTAGATGATCTTTAGAAGCTTAAATCACGAATGAGAGTGGTTTAAAGAGAGATTTCTAGAATATACTTGAATCAAAAGTATTGGAGTTACACAATAACTTACCAAAGATTGGAAATACTTGATGAAGACCCTTAGAACTCTAGCAAAATTTCGAGATCTTGGAAGAAGAAGAGAATGATCTTTGAGAGTGTTTGGAGAGGATTTGGAAGGATGTGTGTGTGTGTGTTTGGTTTCTCGGCCGAAGGAAGAAAAGAGAGGGAAGAAGAGAGAGGTGTGAGTTGATGGGTGCATGGGGAAGTGTAAGCCTTGCATGGGTGTATGGTGGACAATAGGGAGGTGGCACCTCCTAAGTCAACCCTTATCACCATCCTATTTTTCCTTTTTTTCTTATGTTGGGCCGAGTTGGGCTTGGTAAAAGAAACATGGATTAATTGGCCCACTTCTAGCCTAAGTTCGAAAGTATGAGATTATAAAGGAGGTTTTCGGCCCATTGGGTTTCTTTGGATGGTTCACGGCCCATTTAGCATAATAGATTAGGTTTGTGGCCATCAGGGCTAATTAGATTAGTCATGGCCCAATAAGGCTTATTGGAGTAGTTTATTCCATTTTA